ACCAGTGAAGCCATCTGGTCCTGGACTTTTGTTTTTTGAAGGTTTTTGGTTACTGATTCAGTCTCCTTGAAGTAATTGATCTGTTCAGATTGTTTTTTAAAATCTTTTAATGATTCAGTGTTGGAAGGTTATATGTTTCTAGCAATTTGTCCATTTCTTCTAGCTTGTCCAATTTGTTGGTGTAGAGTTGTTCATACTAGTCTCTTATGCTTTGTACTTCTTTAGTATTAGTTATAGTGTCTCTTTCATTTCTGACTTTATTGATTAGACTTCTTTTTTTGATGATAAGTCTGGCTGTAATTTTATCAATTTTGTTTATCTTTTCAAAGAACCAGGTCTTGGTTTCATTGATCATTTTTATTTTATAAAGTCTCTATTTTGTTTATTCCTGCTCTGATCTTTATTATATTTTTCCTTCTACTAACTTTGGGTTTTGTTTGCTGTACTTTTTCTAAGTTCCTTTAGGTGTAGGGTCAGGTTGTTTATTTGTAATTTTTCTTGTTTTCTGAGCTAAGTTTGTATCACTAAAATTTCTCTCTTAGAACTGCTTTTGCTGCATCCAATAGATTTTGGGTCTTTGTGTTTTTGTTGTCATTTGTTTCCAAGTATTTTGATGATTCTTTGAGTTTCTCTGGTGACCCATTGGTTGTTTAGTAACATGTTACTTAGCTTCCATGTTAGTGTTTTTTGCAGTTTTTTTTTTTTTCCCCTTGTGGTTGATTTTGAAGAGTCACATAGGATTGTGGTTGAAAAACATGCTTGATATGGTTTCAGTTTTCTTAAATTTATTGAATGTTGTTTTGTGGTACATCATGTGGTTCATCCTAGAAAATGTTCCATGTACATTTGAATCAAATGTGTATTCTGCTGATTTGGATGGAATGTTCTATATCCGTCCATTTGATCTAATGTGTTTCTTGACTAATTTTCTATCTGGATGATCTGTCCACTGATATGAGTGGGGTGTTAAATTCCCCTACTCTTATTATGTTACTGTCAATTTCTCCCTTTATGTCTGTTAATATTTGCTTTATGTATATAGCACTCTTTTATATATAGGTGCATATCCATTTACAGTTGTTACATATTCTTAGATTGATCCCTTGATCATTATATCACGTCCTTCTTTGTCACTTGTCACGTCTTTGTTTTAATGTCTATTTTGTCTAATATATTAATAAATATTGGCATCCTGGCTTTTTCTGACATATGTTTGCATGGAATACTTTTTTTCAATCCCCTCACTTTCAGTTCTGTGTATGTCTTTAGATCTGAAGTGTGTCTCCTATCGGTAGCATATATATGGGTTTTGTTTTTGTGTCCATTCAGCCACTCTGCATCTTTTGATTGGAGCATTTAGTCCATTTACATTTAATTACTGATAGGTATGTACTTCTGTTTTGTTCATTGTTTGAGGGTTATTTTTGTAGTTCTTTTTAGTTCCTGTCCTCTTCCCTCCCCTGTTGATTTGATGACTATCTTTAGTTATGTTTGGATTCCCTTATTTTTGATGTTTATAAATTGTAGATTTCTGGTTTGTGATTACCATGTAGCTTATATATAGCAATCTATATATAATGTAATGCAATATATGTGTTCATTTTAAGTTGATGATCTCTTAATTTCAAACATTGGGGGTTATTTTTGTAGTTCTTTTTAGTTCCTGTCCTTGTCCCTCCCCTATTGATTTGATGACTATCTTTAGTTATGTTTGGATTCCTTTATCTTTGATGTTTTCCAATTGTAGATTTCTGGTTTGTGATTACCATGCAGCTTATATATATAGCAATCTATATATAATGTAATGCAATATATGTGTTCATTTTAAGTTGATGATCTCTTAATTTCAAGCATTTTTAACACCCCTGCATTTTTACTGCCTCACCCTTGTCATGGTTATTGTTTTTAGTTTCATATTTTACATCTTTTTGTGTATCTCTTAACTAATTATTATGGATATAGATGATTTTTACCACTTTTCTCTTTTAACTTTCCTGATAGCTTTGAACATGGTTGATTTACTACCTAAATTTTGCCTTTATTAATGAGCTTTTTCCTTTCATAATTTTCATGTTTCTATTTGTAATCTTTTCTTTTTCACCTAGAGAAATCCCTTTATCGTTTCTTATGAAGCTGATTTGCTGGTGCTCAACTCCTTTTAGCTTTTGCTTCTCTGCAAACCTTGGGGCTTCTTTATCAAATCTGCATGAAAGTCTTGTTGAGTAGAGTATTCTTGTTTGTAGGTTTTCCCCTTTCATCACTTAAAATTTATTGTGCACTCCCATCTGGCCTGCAGAGCTGCTGGAAGTAGTTGATGACCTCACTGGAGTTCCTTTGTATATAACTTGTTGCTTTTCCCTTGTGTTTTTTTTTTTTTTAAATTTTTCCCTTGTGTTTAATATTCCTTCTTTAACTTTAATTTTTGCCATTTTAGTTACAGTGTATCTTGGTGTGGACCTCTTTGGGTTGATCCTGTCTATGTTCCAGGACCTAGATGTCTATATCTTTTCCCAAGTTAAGGAGATTTTCAACTATTGGGTCTTCAACTATGTTCTCTGTCCCTTTCTCTCTTCTTCTGGGACCCTATGATGTGAATATCAGTGCCCTTGATGTTGTACCGAGATTTAACTCTATTTTCTTTTTACTCTTTTTTTCTCTGTTCGGCTTCAGCGATTTCCTCCACTCTGCCTTCCATCTCCCTGATCCATTCCTCTGTATCATTTAATCTGCTGTTGATTTCTTCTAGTTTATGTTTCATTTCAGTTGTATTTTTCGTCTCTGCTTAGTTCTTCATATCTCCTAACTATGTTAAGCTTCTCACCGTGTTCATCCACTCTTCTCCCACCTTCTTTGATCATCTTTGTGATCCTTACCCAGAACTCCTCCTCAGGTAGTTTGCCTATCTGCGCCTCAGTTGGTTCTTCTTCTGGGGTTTTATCTCCTTCCTTTGTTTGAAACGTGTTTCTCTGTCACCTCATTTTGCCTAACTGGCTCTTTTTATTTCTCTGCATCCGGTAGGTTGGTTACATTTCCTGACCTTGGAGAGGGGGCCTTTTGTAGGAGATACACTGTGTGTCCCAGCAGCTCCCTCCTCTCTGGTCATTAGTGCTATATGCTCTAGGGGTACCCCTGTGTGGGGTGCGTGGGTCCTTCTGTGTGGTGGCCCAGCTCCTGCCATGGTCTGATAGACGTGGCTGGCCCTTGGCCCAGTTGGTTGCCAGGCCGTGCCTTGTGTGGAGCGGGCTGGGTACTTGTTGGTGGGGCCAGGTCACGGGGCTGCTGGCTGCAGAACCCTGGAGGACCCTGTCCTTGCTCACGAACGGTCAGAGCAGGTTCTTAGGTGAGTGGTTACAGGGCTGGGGCTCATGGATCTAGTCTTGGCCTCCTGGTAGCTGGAGCCAGTTCCTAATATGGCTGGCACAGGTTCTAGGGTATCCCAAATGGGCCAGCACCTGCTGACCCACCGCTAACTGAGGGGGGCTGGATCCCAGGGCAGCTGGCTGAGGACTCTAAGGTTTCTCAGAGCTGGTTTTGGTCTGCTCTTGGGTGGGGCCGGGGTGCCAATCTGCTGTGTTGGTTGTGTCCTAACAAGGTAGGCTGCAGGGCTGCAGTGGTCCTGGGGCTGGTGTCTGCCCCTCGCTGGGTGAAGTTGGGGCCAGTAGGTGAAGCCAAGGCCCAGAATATTTGAGGGCTGGTTCTGGCTGGCTTGTGGCTGGAACGTGGGTCTGCAGATTTCTGGCTGCATGTCCCTGGGGGTCTCGGGGCTAGTGCTTGTTCACTGTTGATAGCACTGGGGCCTGAGCCCTCTGGCGAACAGGACTGTGACCTTAGGAGCCTTGGGCTCAGAAGGTTTTAAGGCAGCCTGTCTGCTGTAGGGTGGCACTGTGTCCTTATCCAGCTGGTTGCTTGGCCTGAGCTGTCCCAGCACTGCTGCAGACAGGTTGCACGAGTCTGGGTGGGGCTGGATCCTGGTGCTAATTCTCTTGAAGGATTCCAAAATGGCACTTTCCAGTGCCTTTGCCTCCAAGGTGAGCTCCAGTTGCTTCTTGCCTCTTAGGAAGACCCTCCAAGATCAGCAAATGAGTCCGACCTGGCCTCTTTTCCAATGAATGCTTCTGCCGTGGGTCCCAGAGGGTGTGAAATTTTGTGTGTGCCCTTTAAGAGTGGTGTGTCTGTTTCCCCCAACCCTCTGTGACTCCTGAAATTAATCCCTGCAGGCCTTCAAAGCCAAGCTTTCCAGGCACTTGTCTTCCCAGGGCAGGATCCATGGGCTGGGGAGCCCTCTGTGGGACTCAGACTCCTTGAGGAGCAGTTGTAGTTATTCTTACATTTGTGGTTCACCCACCCCTGAGGTGTGGGTCTTGACTACGTAACTTACGCCCCTCCTACCCATCTTATGATTCCTTCTTTGTATCTTTAGTTGTCGATGATCTTTTCTGCTAGATTTTGTCTTTCTCATGAAGAGTTGCTCTCTCAATAGCTGTGATTGTAGTGTGCTCACGGGAGGTGAGCACAGGGTCTTCCTACTCCACCGTCTTGTCCAACCTCTGTAATAGTACTTCCTCTAAGTAATTCTTATAAATGAAGAGTTGTAACAGGTGTTCACTGCCAATGCTCCTGATTCCCTTTTTCACGTGTAAGTAGGAAGAAGGAACATTGGCGCAGTGAGCTCCCGGAAGCAGAACTGCAAATGAGAAAGTGCCAGCCAGGAATCACGTCTAGGCTCAAAATACTGCATGTAGCATGTTTGACGTAACTGCTTGAGCTTCCACTTCCTCATTTGAAGAGTGTGATGGTAATGGCTGCCTCCTCCAGATTTGAGGCTGACATGAGATGATGTCCAAAATGCTCCTTGCGCTCCGCATAACGGGTCCTGTCTGCTGTCAGCCCTCTTCCCCGCTCAGTGCCCAGAATGTGACAGGTCATACACCTGGCCCGTGTGGACAGTGACTCTCATTGCTTGACCCTGCATGTCTCCTAACCCACCTGATTATTTTTAGAGTATGGAGGAAAGTGGAAAATGCTTCATTACTTTGCTCGGCATTTCTTCGCCCCACTGTTAGCGGTGGGATTTGAGGATAAAGATGTGCTTTTCATCTATGGTGTGTCAGATCTTCACTCAGACCATCAGACGATGCTCACTGTAAGTTGCTTGGACTTTTTTCTTTCTGTGCTGGAGGGAGAATTTTAGATTTCTTTCATTATTTGGTTCTGTTCTTTTTGGAAAAAAGAAAAGAGAAATTTGTATCAAAATGTTTCTAGCGCCCGTAGCAGAAAATGGGCTGTTCTTAAAATCTGAGAATCTATATTCAGGACAAAATCCTACTGTTTATTCTACGACCTTAATGTCTTGGTTCAGTTTTCTCATCTGTAAAATGACACCAAGTTACCTTTTTAGAGGATTTCTGTGGATAGTGAATACAATAATTAGATGAATGTGAATTGTAAACTGTAAAATGATACTTAAATCAGAGATTATTTATAATCATGAGAAGCTGGAAAAAGCCTAAAGTTTATAAAAAGAAATCATTTAAAACAGTATATTAAAGTGGAAATCAGTAAAGTTATGCAAAATGTATATGTGGGAAAGTGAAGTTGTATTTAAAACAAAGTTAGGTAAAAAGAGAGGATAGAAACTTGAAGTCAGGTGGCTGCCATTGAGAGGACATTGAGAATTGGTCAAGTTTTTGGAATAATTACAATACCTGAGGTCCTGTGCCTTCCATAGATTATTTAATTCTCACAACTGCCTATGAAGTTACTGCTTTTTATGATTTGTTGTTCTCACTTTATGTATAAAGAAATGGATACTTTGAGAAGTTGAATTCACATCTTAGTTACATAACTCGTACGTGGCGGAGCTGAGGTTAAACTCAGGTTTCACAGTCTCTTAATCAGTTCTGCTATTGTGACTTCCATCTATTGTTACTACTCTTATTCTCTAAAAAAAATTAGGAACTGAGAATGTTTGGTTTTCTTCTGTCTTGTTTCTCCCCAGGTGAGAGTCCACACTTGGAGTTCCCTGGAGCTCGTATGCTCTGAGTCGACTAAGCCTTTTGTGATAAAAGCTGGGGAGTCTGTTCTCCTGTATATTAAGCCAGTGCCTGAGTTGTTAAAAGGATGTCCCACATGTACACGACAAAGCTGTGTGGTTTCCTTTTACCTGTCAACTGACGGGGAACTCTTGAGCCCAATCAACTATCACTTTCTGTCCTCGCTGAAGAATGCCAAGGGGCTCCTCAAGGCAAATATCACTGTAAGCACCAGAGGTCTGGAGTTGCTGTGGCTTTGAGGGCTGTCCTGCTGTTTTGCAAAATTTCCCCTTGGTACTGAGTTTATTTGGGACCTGGGAAAGATTGATTCCCCTTCCCACTGGAAGCAAAGAGCAAATAATTTTTATTTCTGATTCAGCGTTTGTCAGAGTTTATGGTGCCTGCCACGCCGGTGGTCCCATCACCTCTCCTTGCCAGGCTGGTTCAGCAGAGAGCGGGGCAGCAGGGTCCTCACCCCTGACTGCTCCTCAGCCGGGTTCCAGCCTCTGCACCAGCCCTGAAATATTACCACCTGCATTTGTAAGTGAGAAAGCCTGTTTGGGGGCTCCTTAAGTGGCTCAGTGGTAAAGAATCTGCCTGCCGAGGCAGGAGGTACAAGAGACATGGGTTTGATTCCTGAGTCAGGAAGATCCCCTGGAGAAGGAAATGGCAACCCACTCCAGCGTTCTTGCCTGAAGAATCCCATGAACAGAGGAGCCTGGTGGGCTACACTCCATGGGGTCACAAAGTGTTGAACATGACTGGGCACACACACACTAACCTGTTTGGTGGGGCCGAGTAGCTATTCAGTCTGTAGCCAGGAAGTGTCAGAGTCCAGTAAAAGCACTCTTTGTTTTTTAATCTAACAAACAATTTCTTCTCTCTTTTTTTTAACTTTCTATTTTATATTGGAGTATAGTTGATTAACAATGTTGTGATAGCTTTGACACGTTCATTTAATATTTTTTTAATTTCAGCTGTTTATTGATTGATTGGCTCTGCTGGGTCTCTGTATCTGCATGGGCTTTTCTGTAGTTGTAGCAAGTGGGGCCTGGTCCCTGCAGTGAGACACTCTCGCATCGCAACTAGGGAGTAGCCCCAGCTCATAATTTACATCAGGATACACTCATTCTGTTGTGTGTTCTATGGGTTTTGACAAATGTACAGTGATATGTGGGCTTCCCTGGTGCCTCAGTGGTAAGGAATCCACCTGCCAAGCCGGAGACATAGGTTTGGTCCCTGGGTCAGGAAGATCCCCTGGAGAGGGAAATGGCAACCCAGTCCTCCTCATAACTGAGTGGCTAAACGGCAGTGGCATGTGACAACTGTCACAGTGTCTCACAGAGTACTTCCACCGCTCTGCAGTCCATTGCTGTCTGCCTCCTCTATCTTTGCTTGTGCCCAATCACTTCAGTCGTGTCTGACTCTTTGCAGCCCCGCCCGGCTCCTCTGTCCATGGGGTTCTCCAGGCAAGAACACTGGTGGGTTGCCATTCCCTTCTCCAGGGGATCTTCCCGACCCAGGGATCCAACCCGTGTCTCCTGCATTGGTAGAGGGGTTCTTTACTGCCGAGCCACCTGGAAAGCCCTGCTTTATCGTTCCCTCCCCTCAATCCCTAGGAAACGCTGATCTTTTGGCAATTTACATATTTTTATTTTTTCCAGGATGTCATATCATTGGAACCATACAGTATGTAGTTCTTTCAGATTGGCTGTTTTCTACTTAACAACATGCATTTAAATCTTCTCCGTTTCTTTTTTTTTAACTTTTAAATTTTATATTGGATTAACAGTATATATTTATATATTTATATTCGATTAACAATGTTGTGATGGCTTCAGGTGGACAGCAAAGGGACTCAGCCATACTAAAAGCACCCTTAATTTTGCTTTTTTAAGGAGAGTCTATTAATGTAAAAAATTTTCATTCTCCACTCTGATTTATTACGTTCAAGTTGCTTAATCACCAGATCTCTTTATCATTGTCAAGAAAAATAATGGGATGATCAGGATAGGCTGTGTTGTAAAAATTGTGTAGCTGGAAAATATGGAATCTATCTAGTTGATTGAAAACCTTTCCTTCCTTCCCCCACCTCCACGAGGTGATTGAAAATATGTTTCTAGAAAGTTTCATTCTCTATTTTTAACCAATTATAAGTTTATTTTAGACTTCGTTGAAAAGACTTAAGTGAGAGGATTTTTTTATATTTGGTTTTGAAATATCAAAACTCAGCCCTTGAAATGAAAGCACAACTTCCTTCCTAGTTAATAGTAAACTGTTCCTTTAATGAAATCTAACTTATTTGTAACATCCGATGTAGAGCAGATATGAAGGAAATGACATACGTTTACATGGCTTCTTTCCAGAAAAAAAGCACAAAACTATTAGTGGACAAATTTGTGGTCTTTAGACAAGATTTTGAAATCTTTCATATTTTCTCATCTAGGTCTGTATTACCTTGAGACAGCTGGGAGTGGGTAAGGAGCAGGCCTTCTTTCTCGGTCCTATCTCAGTTGTATTTCAGTGATATGTTGCATCCTAAGGGATCCTTTATTACATCCTAAAGAGATGTAATAACAGTAGCAACAATAATAGTAATGATAGTAAACATCATGACAGGCTTAACATAGCTGGGCATTAATTCCATCCCCTGGGGCCTTCCCAGGGGCCTTGAGTCAGAGTACTGAGCTCCCTGCTCCGCTGTCAGATAATGCAGAGGTGTGATTGCCAATTATAAGAAGGCACCTACAGGAGTGAATGCGCACCAGTTTCCCTTCTGGCCTTGGCCTTGGGACAGACTAGCTGAGGCCTTCCTGCAGCCTTGGTAGCGGCCAGGGCCCTGCCGTGTGCAACTGTGTGCCTGAGACTGCTGTAGGGTCTTCATTGCAACGAGTGGGCAGCATGATTTGGGAATTTGACACCATCACTACTTTGGTAGAAGCAATAAAAGAAATTTAAAGTGTATTAGGTAGCTCTCTTTAAATTTCTTTTCTTGCTTCTACCAAAGTAGTGATGGTGGTGGTGGTGGAGTCGTTAAGTCCCAGCCGACTCTGTGCCACCTCATGGAATGTAGGCCTCCAGGCCCCTCTGTCCCTGGGATTCTCCAGGCAAGAGTACTGGAGTCAGTCACCAGTTTCTTCTCCAGGGGATCTTCCCGACCCAGGTATGGAACCCAGGTCTCCTGCACTGCAGACAGATTCTTTACCGACTAAGCCACTAGGGAAGCCCTACCAGTGTGGGATTTCTTGTTGATACTGCAGAACCCTGCATGATGCAGCAGGCTAAGTTATATATAGTAACATTTTCCCTTGGGTATTCTTTATGTCACACATAGCCTGTAATGTCAGACCTGTGGCATGGCATGTATGCATGTTGAAGAGTTCTGTGTCGTGACAAATGCATGGCTTGACTCCCAGGTCCCACCCAGCTGTGTCCTCACAGTGAGAGAGGATCACCAACCCCGCCTTCCAGCGAGCAGCCGTCCTCACTGTCAGCCTGTGCCAAGAGGCTGAGGGTGACGAGACTTAAATTGCACTCTCTTTTGCTATATTATGTGGGATTCACATGTGTTCGAGGTGCTAATAAAGTGACTTTATCAACGATGCATTAAGAGCACCAGCTCTAGTGGGATAGCTCCTGGAGATGCCTGGCTGGCTGCTCTCTGGACTGCAGGGTCTTATCATAAGACCAAAAGGTGGGTGCCCTGGCTGGTTCCACAGTCAGCTCCCGACAGATCCTGAGCAAGTCATTAAAATCACCACCCCTGCTGCAGAAGTGTGCTTCTTTTGATGAGACCCTGAGGAGAAGATACACAGCTACAAAGCTCTGAGCTTCCTGTGAAATGTTCTCCTGAATCTTTGGAGACCACATATTTCTACCCCTGATTTGAGATTACAATTTGGGGATTTTCCACAGCCTTCAGTAAATTTCCATGTATTTTTTTTCAGCATCTGACACAGTGCATGGAATATATGACTTTAGCAGTAATAGAACCAAAGTTGTAGGCAGTGCACTTCATGTTAGCCACATAGAACAGAGAGCTGCTCTCCACCTTCACTTGATTTATCTTTTTCTTTCAGGCCACCATCTCGCAGCAAGGGGACACATTTGTTTTTGATCTGAAAACCTCAGCTGTCGCTCCCTTTGTTTGGTTGGATGTAGGAAGCATCCCAGGGAGATTCAGTGACAATGGTTTCCTCATGACTGAGAAGACACGGACTGTATTCTTTTATCCTTGGAAACCCACCAGCCAGAGTGAATTGGAGCAATCTTTTCATGTGACTTCACTGGCTGATACTTACTGACGGATCCAGGTTGTATTTTCGAGAGCTGAAGGCAACTAGAAACAAGTTGAAGAAGCCAGGAAATGCATCTGCTTGCTCTCAGATGTCTGATTAGCCACTTGGTTCTCCCAGGGAAGGCTGTGTATATTCAGGGGATGTCCTCAGCAAAGCTGTGCCTGGGTGCTGTTCAGTCTGCACCAGGGTTGTGTCTTTAGCTCTTCCTTTCGCACCACACGAATCAGTTCTAACCCAGCTGTCTCTCCTAACCCGACAGGGAGGTCCTGTCTGCATGCAGTCCTTTAAGAGAATCAGAGGTACACTCCCAGGTAGCCCTTTAAGGGAATCATGGTGATAACCGTTGTGGTATCTGTGGAATCAAATGTGGCAGGTTGTGAGGGCATGTAGGCCCTCTGGTTAGCTTTGAGAAATACCAAACGATTGAAATGAAACTGCTTTGTCATTATTTCCAGAGGAAATAGAGATTCAGATGTTGCAACAGAAAGAGATGTCTGGGTGGTAGCCATATTGGTTGTTGATGCTGGAAAGTTTGGTGGGATGGATTGTTGCCATTTGATTATTTTTTGAGTAGGAGTCTTTTTTCATTTGTGAGGTGTTTTTTTTAAATATTTGTTTTAACAGTAATAATTTATTTTTTCAAAGGCAATTAGTGATTCGTCTTTGGGGAAAAAAAGCTCACATTGAAATGGACATCACCTTCATCATGTTGGAAACTGTTGGGTGTCCCAACATAAGTGGTCACCTGTATATTGTATGGGCTTCAGATTTGGTTAAGTCCAGTGAACTTTCCAATTCAAGGCTATGGTTTGATTTGCATGTTATGAGCCTGGCAGCAGAGTAGTATTGCCTTTAACTTGAGATTGAGCCATTTTAAAAAACACTGATTAATTATAATGGCTATGCAATCATTGTGTTCTGCATCATCCTGTTTATAAAATTACATTGATACTGAAGCAAGGGGCAAAATGTTAATAAGTAGTCAATTTGAGTAAAGGTATATAGGAATTTTTTTGTTCTGCTTTTGCAACTTTTCTGTAAGTTTGAAATATATAAAAAATTTAAGGTTATATAAATTGCATTGACAATTTGGTGTTCCGTCTGTGACTTATTTCCTCATTCCATGAACACTGGGTTGTGCCCAGTATCATGCAAGGCATTAATTTCCATTTAGCTCTGGTCAGGTTTTTAATCCACTTGATAAACTGGGAGAGTTTGAGGAATCTAGACCAGGATATTTGAAGGGTCTTCTAGAAGAAGAATCAAGTAATTGGTTATGGAATTTACTGCCGGTGAGAGTTTGGCTTTAGAATCAAGACTAAATAGGTAATATTTTGGTTTTATTTTTTTATTTTTATTTTTTTTAATTTTTATTTTTTTATTTTATTTTATTTATTTATTTATTTAATATTTTGGTTTTAAAGCTAAGAAACTTTTGGCCATTGTTCAGAGACTAAAATGAAAATAAATGCAGACAACCCACTCCTCTCCTTCAATATCTAAGAGTTTCCTTATTTTATGTGTCATTTCAAAATATATATTTATATACAGCTTTTCATATATACATGTGAAATATATATTTCATACAGCTTTTAAACTCTATGAAAGACTGGGGCTTAGGGCTGTAACCCAGAAGATTCTTACTTGATAAATATTATATCACTTTCTTGTCACTGTTGCTGGGTGGGCAGGGGGTACATTGCAATTACAATTGCAATTCTGCCCTTGCTAGCTTTGTAGCCTTAACCGAGTAATTTAACCTCTATGTTCAGTCCTCTTGTGGTGAAATGGTAATAATTACCCTCACCTTATAAGTGTGTTTTGGAGAATAAATTAAAAGCGTGGCTCAAGGGCTTGGCCCAGTATTGACATAGTGAAGGCTCTGTGAATGGAGGCACCATCTTGGGTGCGACCCTGTTATCTAGAGAGGGCAGGGCTTCCAGCCACACTGACCTGAGTTGGAATCTAGGTTTTGAGGCTTATTGGCTCTGTGACCTTGGGCAGCCACTTGGCCTTCTAGATTTCAGTTTTCTCATCTGTTTAGTGGAGATGATTATCTCTGACCCTCAAAGGTAGTTGTAAAGATTAAACAGATAGGGTCTGGAACAAAATAAATGCTAAGTGGTGGTTATACTTTTAGAACATCATTATCACCCAGTTAGTACATGAAGCAACGGTAAAAATGAAGCAAATAAACGCAGATTCTTTTTTTCTGTCTTTCTTTACTTTGACGTATAGTTAATACAATATTGCATTAGTTTCAAGTGTACTGCAAAGTGATTCACACACACACACACATATATATACTTAATTATTTTCTGCTATAGATTATTATAAGATATTGAATATAATTCCTTGTGCTACACAGTAAATCCTATTGCTTATCTGGTTTTTATATAACAGTGTATATCTGTTAATCCCACATCCTGCTTTGTCCTTCCCTCTCCTTCTACCCATAAGTTTGTTTTCTATGTCTGTGAGTCTGTTCCTGTTTGTACATAAATTCAATTGCATTATTTTTTTTTAAGATGCCAGAAGAAGTAATAGGATATAATATTTGTCTTTCTCTGGCTTGCTTCACGAGGTATGATAATCTCTGGGCCCATCCATGTTGCCTCAAATGGCATTATTTCATTCTTTTTGAAGATAAAGTAATATTTAATTGTATCTGATTAGCCAAGAAGTTCATTCGGGTTTTTCTGTAAAATGTTGTAGGAAAACCTGAATGAGCATTTGGCCAACCCAGTGTAAACATACCACATCTTTATCTGTGCATCTGTCAATAGACATTTAGGTTGCTTCCATGTCTTAGCTATTGTAAATAGTGCTGCTATGAACATTGGGGTGAGTGCATCTTTTCAATTAAGAGTTTTTGCCAGATATATGCTCAGAAGTAGAATTTGTTGGATCGTATGGCAATGATTAAAAAAAATTATTTTTTAAATCTCCATATTGTTTTTCATAGTGGCTGCACCAGTTTACATTTCCACCACAAATGTAGGAGGGCTCCCTCTTGTCCACATCCTCTCCAGAATTTGTTATTTGTAGACTTTTTAATGATGGCCATTCTGACCTGTGTGAAGTGATACCCTCATTGTAGTTTTGATTTGCCTTTCTCTAAAATTAGAGATAACAAGGGAACATTTCATGCAAAGATGGGTTCGATAAAGGACAGAAATGGTATGGACCTAACAGAAGCAGCAGATATTAGGAGCTGTCAAGAATACACAGAAGAACTGTACAAAGAAGATCTTCACAACCCAGATAATCATGCTGGTGTGATCACTCACCTAGAGCCAGACATCCTGGAATGTAAAGTCAAGTGGGCCTTAGAAAGCAAAACTACGAACAAAGCTAGTGGAGGTGATGGAATTCCAGTTGAGCTATTTCAAATCCTGAAAGATGACGCTGTGAAAGTGCTGCACTCAATATGCCAGCAAATTTGGAAAACTCAGCAGTGGCCACAGGACTGGAAAAGGTCAGTTTTCATTCCAATCCCAAAGAAAGGCAATGCTGAAGAATGTTCAAACTACTGCACAATTGCACTCATCTCACATGCTAGTAAAGTAATGCTCAAAATTCTCCAAGCCAGGCTTCAGCAATACGTGAACCGTGAACTTCCAGATGTTCAAGCTGGTTTTGGAAAAGGCAGATGAACCAGAGATCAAATTGCCAACATCCACTGGATCATTGAAAAAGCAAGAGAGTTCCAGAAAAACATCTACTTCTGCTTTATTGACTATGCCAAAGCCTCTGACTGTGTGGATCACAATAAACTGTGGAAAATTCTGAAAGAGATGGGACTACCAGACCACCTGACCTGCCTCTTGAGAAACCTGTATGCAGGTCAGGAAGCAACAGTTAGAACTGGACATGGAACAACAGACTGGTTCCAAATAGAAAAAGGAGTACATCAAGGCTGTATATTGTCACCCTGCTTATTTAACTCACATGCAGAGTACATCATGAGAAACACTGGGCTGGAAGAAGCACAAGCTGGAGTCAAGATTGCTGGGAGAAATATCAATAACCTCAGATATGCAGATGACACCACCCTTATGGCAGAAAGTGAAGAGGAACTAAAAAGCCTCTTGATGAAAGTGAAAGAGGAGAGTGAGAAAGTTGGCTTAAAGCTCAACATTCAGAAAACTAAGATCATGGCAGCTGGTCCCATCACTTCATGGGAAATAGATGGGGAAAGAGTGGAAACAGTGTCAGACTATTTTTTTGGGCTCCAAAATCACTGCAGATGGTGATTGCAGCCATGATATTAAAAGACGCTTACTCCTTGGAAGGAAAGTTATGACCAACCTAGATAGCATATTAAAAAGCAGAGACATTACTTTGCCAACAAAGGTCCATCTAGTCAAGGCTATGGTATTTCCAGTGGTCATGTATGGATGTGAGAGTTGGACTGTGAAGAAAGCTGAGCGCTGAAAAATTGATGCTTTTGAACTGTGGTGTTGGAGAAGACTCTTGAGAGTCCCTTGGACTGCAAGGAGATCCAGCCAGTCCATCCTAAAGATCAGTCCTGGGTATTCATTGGAAGGACTGATGCTGAAGCTGAAACTCCAATACTTTGGCCACCTCATGCGAAGAGCTGACTCATTGGAAAAGACCCTGATGCTGGGAGGGATTGGGGGTAGGAGGAGAAGGGGATGACAGAGGATGAGATGGCTGGATGGCGTCACTGACTCAATGGTTATGTGTTTGAGTAAACTCTGGGAGTTGGTGATGGACAGGGAGGCCTGGCATGCTGCAATTCATGGAGTCACAAAGAGTTGGACACGACTGAGAGACTGAACTGAACTGATTCTTGTTCTGTGAAAAATATCATGGGTCTTTTGATAAGGATTGCATTAAATTTGTAGATTGCTTTGGGTAGTATGACCACTTTAACAGTATTAATTCATCAATCCAAGATCATGGATTATCATACATTTATTTGAATCACCATCGGTTTTCATTATCAGTATTTTAGTTTCCAGTGTGTAGGTTTTTTACAT